GATACCCAAATTTTGTTTTAAAAATTTCAAAGAAGCAAGTCTAGGGATTGGGGTGGTAAATGTTTTTAAGAAACTGGTATTAAATTTCGTCCGGGCCTGCAGCACTATCTTTTGCAGTTTTTTGATTGAATAAATTAAGTCATCAATAGAGAAAAGGGAATTATAGTCTTTCGTCGTTTGTTGAAGTAAAATTAATATACTCTTTCTCAGATTTACATTTATGTTGTTGAAATGTATTTGAATAATTGCTTGAAGAAGAGTTCTTTTCAAACGTTTTTAGCCAAAGTTTCTGCAATATCTGTTTTTTGTTTTGGCATATTGGCCATCACCAGTTTTTAAGTGAACAGTTGGACTCTTTTTATTACTTACCACTTATTTTTCGTACTGCATCCCAGACTTTTCCTAATAGAAGTATTTGAATTAATATTTGAAAACATAAGATTGCCATGATTGGCGTTTAGATTGACGCACTGATCTTCTAGCTTTGGCTCTAAATATTCTATAATTTTCAAGGTTTTTCTGTTGTAGGTCTATGTTCAAACTTTTTGGAGTGAAGCTTTACGTATACGAACGGCTTTTTTACATTCATCGTTAAAACCATGGTTTTTTTGATTTTGTTTACTTTTATTATCTTTTTTTTAATGGAATAACTTTGCAAGCAAATCGTATGTAATGCAGAAGAAGAGAAAGTTTCAAGCTATATCATCAGAGGTGAAATCAAATTCATTTTTTGTTAGATCAATAGAACAGAGCCTAGTAAATGTTTCCCAATCTGCTTTCTTAAATTTAAAAATTTGTATAAAAAAATAAGCCCTGGTGTTCATGAAAAACTCAAATAATTTATATAAAAAACCAGTTTTTTACTCAAAAGACAAAAGAGATATTTGACTGAAGTTAACCTGTGTCAACAATACTAAAGTAGTATTTTGTATACATACGTTATAAAAGGACTTTATAATACTGCACGTTTGTAACGTCATTTTTCATTGGATAATCGTGATGTTTATATAGTTTTATATGCACGGCTGCTGTAGATTCATGAAGAAATCTTACTTTTTTCTCTAAAAATGATGCCTGCTGTATTATAACTTCGTTATAAAGATTGTTGACAGGTTATATGGCCGTATATAAATGGCTATTTGCAATGACGGCTCGGGTAATATTTACAAAAAGCCGTTTATACAGGGCCATATAACCTGTCATCGATCTTTATATCTAATAATATCATAACATTCATATCTGCGGCTGACATTTTGTTGAGAAAGAACAAAATAGTTTTAGAGGGGGTTGAAATCCCCTGTATTCAGGTCGGGAAACAAACAGTCCCAAGGAAGGTTTGGTGACTGAAGATCTTACAGTGCCAGGCCTAACGGAAGCTTTGGTAGACTTGGTTCCATGATAACCGCCGTATGAACACATCTGCGGATGTTTCTAAATTCAAAATTTTACCATTTCATGTTTAAATGTTGAATTCTGCTTAAGCCGGTGCTAGGGGGCGTGGACGGTAACTTGCACTTTCCAGTACCGTCCATGAACAGGCTCAATCAAACCGAGCCTGCAACATTTTCAATTTTGCCGTGTTGGGCTTTCTTTAGGGATTTTGTATTTATCTATTCTTTGTGTCGTGGTTCGAAAGTGATGATGGTGACAACAAATCGGAATATTTAATAGAGCCTACAGAGAACTTTAGAGATGTTTATAAGTTGGTAATGGCATCCACTCTAGTTGATATAAATAATGGACCGACATGCAAGATTCGTGTACTTGATATTTTCTCTTCGGATGTTACGTTGAGGCAGAAGGCTGAAATAGGTAGGGCTGTGCCAATTAGACAAAGACCGAGAAGAGTACCTCTTGCACATGCAAATGATGAAAAATCTGCGTTTGAAGACTTAACCGCCGTATGAACACATCTGCGGATGTTTCTAAATTCAAAATTTTACTATTTCATGTTTAAATGTTGTATTCTGCTTAAGCCGGTGCTAGGGGGCGTGGACGGTAACTTGCACTTTCCAGTACCGTCCATGAACAGGCTCAATCAAACCGAGCCTGCAACATTTTCAATTTTGCCGTGTTGGGCTTTCTTTAGGGATTCTGTATTTATCTATTTTAAGAGATATAAAGGGAAAAATCCTCCTAAATGGGCGGCCAACGCATCTAAAAAAATTAAAGAGACAAGTGTCAATGTATAATTAGAAAATTTAAAAAAAGATGTTGAAATATTTTATTATTTAATTTTTAAATTGACTTTTTTGTTTGTGCAGCCACTTCCCGTCTTTTTAATTCCCCAAAGTCAAAGTGTTTATACAAAATAAATGGATATTTTGATGTGAAAATAAATGTTATGTACATTCAAATACTGAGTGGTGATTGTTTGTTATTATCTTATGTGTGCACGTGAATCACGTGCTGGTAAATAATTTGTTCGAGCCCTAGTTCCAATCGAGTCAGCCTACCTTAACAAAATATTCTTTAGACCAAAAAATATGAAAAACAAGATCAACAAGGAAAGGCGGCGTTCAATGAACGCAACCCCCATATGACCCAGCAACAAGAACCAACGGCAAGGAGCCCAGGCGGACCCCAAACATAAAAAGGACAGGGCAACGACACGTTAATCATTAAATGATAAATAATTTCAAAGTTTCAGAATTAACTTAAAATGTGGGTCGGTGGCAATATAAAAGAAGTATGACATTCGAAAGTAACCATACATTTGTCATTTGTGTATTTTTGCAGTGCCATGGATACACCTTCATGTGCGAACATAAGAGGGAGGGCTTATCGGTGCTTACACTGCAAGAGAAATGGGAAGTTGGATAACATTAACTCCAAAAAATAGATAAGTACAGAATCCCTCAAGAAAGCCCAAAAATAGATAAAAACAGAATCCCCAAAGAAAGCCAAACACGACAAAATTGAAAAATGTTGCAGGCTCGGTTTGATTGAGCCTGTTCATGGACGGTATATTCAGTTCAGTGTTGTTAATTTTTCTTGGGCCTTCGGGGTCATTTTTTATGGGCCAAAAACTTTTTAAAGGGGTTGGAGAAAATTTAGTAAAGCTCAAATCGGTGCTTTGGGGGGGGTGAGGGATGTTTTCAAATTAAATTTATTAAACCCCCATGTTTCAGACTCAATCAAAACCCAAATCTGCAATTTTTAAAGTTTTTTTTTTTTGTGATTAATCTTCCCAGGGATCCTTTGTTTCCCAAAAAATAGATAAATAAAAAGAAACCCCAAAGAAAGCCCAACAAAGGCAAAAATTTTAAAATGTTTGGAAAGGGTCGGTTTGATTTTAGCCTGTTTTAAAGGACGGTTTCTGGGAAAATCAAGTTACCCTCCCCGCCCCCCTAGCACCCGGGTTAAACAGAAATTTAAATTTTAAAAATTGAAAAAGTAAAATTTTTTAATTTTGAAAATCCCCAGATGTGTTATTGCGGCGGTTATCATGGAATCTTCAATGTGACACTTCCGTGCCATTCCATGAAAAGCGGCGTATGGTCCCCAAATAATAAAAAGCGTGTGCCCTAAACGAGAAAACAATGGGCGGAACTAAATAAAATAAAATGGAATTTTAAAAGGGGATCAGAGGTTATGAAGCCTGCGTATCACAGATAAGACGTCAAAAGACAAATTTAAAAAGCAGGCAACATATCCTAAGGGTGATTCAACATTATTCAAGTAGGAATATTGGAACCACCCAACTAGAAAATGCCGAAAAGTTGAAACTAAAAATACTACAAGCACAACAATAATGTCGTGCTGAACGATCTTCAAGGATCGAAAATATAACATCATTGATTAAATGTGCGGGGAGACTTTTTACAGCCGCCACACGGCACAAATAACACGGATGTGATCATAAAATAGATAAATACAGAATCCCTAAAGAAAGCCCAACACGGCAAAATTGAAAATAGTGCAGGCTCGGTTTGATTGAGCCTGTTCATGGACGGTACTGGAAAGTGCAAGTTACCGTCTACGCCCCCTAGCACCGGCTTAAGCAGAATTCAACATTTAAACATGAAATAGTAAAATTTTGAATTTAGAAACATCCGCAGATGTGTTCATACGGCGGTTATCATGGAACCTTCAATGTGACACTTCCGTGCCATTCCATGAAAAGCGGCGTATGGTCCCCAAATAATAAAAAGCGTGTGCCTTAAACGAGAAAACAATGGGCGGAACAAAATAAAATAAAATGGAATTTTGAAAGGGGATCAGAGGTTATGAAGCCTGCGTATCACAGATAAGACGTCAAAAGACAAATTTAAAAAGCAGGCAACATATCCTAAGGGTGATTCAACATTATTCAAGTTGGAATATTGGAACCACCCAACTAGAAAATGCCGACAAGTTGAAACTAAAAATACTACAAGCACAACAATAATGTCGTGCTGAACGATCTTCAAGGATCGAAAATATAACATCATTGATTAAATGTGCGGGGAGACTTTTTACAGCCGCCACACGGCACAAATAACACGGATGTGATCATAAAATAGATAAATACAGAATCCCTAAAGAAAGCCCAACACGGCAAAATTGAAAATGTTGCAGGCTCGGTTTGATTGAGCCTGTTCATGGACGGTACTGCAAAGTGCAAGTTACCGTCCACGTTACCGTCAAGAGTTTTGTACTTCACAACAGCAGGTGTCAAGTGCCGTGTGGCAGCCGTAGAGAGTTGCCCCGTACTTCACTTCAGTGTTGTTATATTTTCTGGTCCTTCGGGATCATTGATGCCAACACTATAAAGTGTTGAGAATTGAGTACCGCTCAAGCCGGTGCTAGGGGGCGTGAGGGATGTTGCACTTATTCATTATCCCTCATGTACAGACTTAATAAAAAAATATGAAAAACAAGATCAACAAGGAAAGGCGGCGTTCAATGAACGCAAACCGAGTCTGCAATTCTTATGTTATTTTGTTGTGATTAATGCTTCCGAGGGATCACTTTGTTTCCAGAGTTTTATAGTGGAGGAAGATCAAAAGAAGGAAAAGATGAGAGAGGAAAAGGTATCGGTTGAAGAACGTAAATATGAGGAAATACAGGATGAGCCGTTAGATTTAAGGATAGTGAGAAGTTGTGATAAAGAGGTTATTGATAAGCAAGAGCAGAAGCGCGAGGAGATAAGGGTGAATGAAGAAATAGTATTAGGAGGAGAAGGGGAGAAGGTGTTGAAAAGGCCAAGCAGTTGTGAGGAGGGCAGTGATAGTGGTTCAAAGAGGTTAAGAGGGTCAACAACAGAATATAAGAAAGAGCAGTATGAGTCATCATCATCAGAAACAGAATCGGACGACTCAGATTCAGACAGCGAGGAAGAGAGGATTGCAGCAAGAGAGAAGAGATTTACTGAGATTTTGGGTGAGATGGTGCGGAAGACAGGAGAGATAGTTGGGGGACAGGTGCTGGAGAATGCGAAGTTGATCAACAAGCTACAGAAGTCGGTCGATATGATGAGAAAAGAAATCGCAGAGTTGAGAGAGGAGAGAAGGTCGGAGAGAAGAAGGGCAGGGGAAGGTGAGAAAGAAAATAGAGTGGAAACCGAAAAGAATTCAGAGAGGTGTACGCAGAATGGAAAGCGGGAAGAACGGAAGAGACTAGAGGAGAGTAGTGGTAGAAGAGGAGATTTTTATAGAGGAAACCAGAGACAGTTATGCAGCGAATCAAATGACGGAAAGAGGGGTTGGAGGAGAGAAAGGTTACACTACCATTAATTTATTTTGGAACTTTAACAGGCTGTTTAGTAGAGATAACTTCAACTGACTGATATTTTATACGAGCTCAGGAAATTAACACACTTTTTATTTATTGATCAAATATTGAAATAACAGAGAAGTGACTTATTGTCTGATTCATATTTTTAACACTTGACATTAAGGGTTATCTATCACTATGAATGTTTCAAAGAGTTAACATTTTAATTATATTATTATTGAACTGTGATGGACTTATCAACTTTAATACCAAATTTAATACTTTACAGATGAGTAATTATAAATGTTATTAATGACTTAGATTTATTAATTGTTCTCAAGTGGAAAATGACAATTTGACAATTTTGTGAAAGCCTATTATTTGTGTCTGATTATTCAACCTTAAACAGATCTCTTATATTTAACCTTTATCTTTGCATTATGTTTGATTGATCGAGCAAGGCAGATAGAAATTTGCCTCGCTAAGGAGTGGGTAAATCAACCTACTTTCGTTTTCGAAATTAGTGTCCTATCACCTAGCTAAAGATACTTCAGCGAACAGGTTTTATAGTATTGCTAGACCTGTTCGCTGAAGCCAACCCCGTATCGAAAGTCAACCAGACCCGTGACATTTTTATGTCATGCTGTAATTCAATTAATTTTCGTGATCTGGACAAAAAACTATTTTAATGCAGGTAGTTAGATATATTTGGGACCCTTCAGTCTATATTTTTGAACGCAGAATGTTAGATTAATGAAATATTGCCTCAAAGTTTATCAGCGGGTTCACATTTCATAAATTTCTCCGCCATTGCTGCCCTAATTATCACGTGACCAGCGAGAATTTAGGTTCGGATACCTTTGCATGACATTTGGTGACACGTGACCCAAATGCTATTTTTAATTGAAAACATGGCTTTGCAATTATGAATAACGGTGTATTTATTCAATAAAAGACATTGTACCAAAAACATGGTTGGATTTATATTGTTTTGAGTGATGATTCATGAATTATTTGTTTGTTTTTATATAAAATCATACACTTACTAAAAATAGTGTATGGTCCGTTACTAAAAATAGATGCTAGAATTTCCAAAACATGAAGTCCCGCGAGATCTCATTTGAAAGCAGACTCCATATTGGTAAACATTCTCTACATATTTCTCTAAAAATAGTAGGGTACACAATGTCATTGAAGTTTCATTTAAAAACAAAACATGAATTAGTTCAAAATTGACTTGTTTATCAAATGGTATTTTTATTTGACCCAAATTTGATTAATAAGGGTGATTTTAATAGGTTTTAATGTACGGCGCACGAACTGTCAAATTCTGGTAGCCTTTGCAAATAGGGTTGACCCATAACTTTACTGTCGCAACGTCAAAATAAAAGCGACATATAAAGTTATGGAAGCCAGAACTACCTATCACCTTATACCTGTAAATTTTAACCTACGCTTTCATATATAGCTTTAAAGATCCTGTAACACATTTTTTTCATGTTTTTATTTCATAAATATGATGCTCAAATTAAGATTTGTCAATATTGTAAGTTCCAATAAGCATTATTTATGAAGATATTACCCAATTTAACATTTCGTGTAAATAAAGGGAGATAATTAGAAATTTATTTTCTATAAATTCTAAAATAGATAAGTACAGAATCCTTAAAGAGAGCCCAACACGGCAAAACTTAAAATGTTGCACGCTCGGTTTGATTGAGCCTGTTCATGCACGGTACTGGCAAGTGCAAGTTACCGTCCACGCCCCCTAGGACCGGCTTAAGCAGAATACAACATTTACACATGAAATGTTAAAATTTTGAATTTAGAAACATCCGCAGATGTGTTTATACGGCGGTCATCATGGAACATTCAACGTGACACTTCCGTGCCATTCCATGAAAAGCGGCGTATGGTCCCAAAGTAATAGAAAGCGTGTGCCCTAAACGAGAAAACAATGGGCGGAACTAAATAAAATGGAATTTTGAAAGGGGATCAGAGGTTATGAAGCCTGCATATCACAGATAAGACTTCAAAAGACAAATTTAAAAAGCAGGCAGCATATCCTAAGGGTGATTCAACATTATTCAAATAGGAATATTGGAACCACCCAACTAGAAAATGCCGAAAAGTTGAAACTAAAAATACCACAAGCACAACAATAATGTCGTGTTGAACGATCTTTAAGGATCGAAAATATACCAGCATTGATTAAATGTACGGGGAGACATTTAACAGCCGCCACACGGCACAAATAACACGGATGTGATCATAAAATAGATAAGTACAGAATCCCTAAAGAGAGCCTAACACGGCAAAACTGAAAATGTTGCAGGCTCGGTTTGATTGAGCCTGTTCATGAACGGTACTGGCAAGTGCAAGTTACCGTCCACGCCCCCTAGCACCGGCTTAAGCAGAATTCAACATTTAAACATGAAATGGTCAAATTTTGAATTTAGAAACATCCGCAGATGTGTTCATACGGCGGTCATCATGGAACCATCTAAATAGATAAAAACAGAATCCCTAAAGAAAGCCCAACACGGCAAAATTGAAAATGTTGCAGGCTCGGTTTGATTGAGCCTGTTCATGGACGGTACTGGAAAGTGCAAGTTACCGTCCACGCCCCCTAGCACCGGCTTAAGCAGAATTCAACATTTAAACATGAAATAGTAAAATTTTGAATTTAGAAACATCCGCAGATGTGTTCATACGGCGGTTATCATGGAACCTTTCAATGTGACACTTCCGTGCCATTCCATGAAAAGCGGCGTATGGTCCCCAAGTAATAAAACGCGTGTGCCCTAAACGAGAAAACAATGGGCGGAACTAAATTAAAATGGAATTTTGAAAGGGGATCGGAGGTTATGAAGCCTGCGTATCACAGATAAGACGTCAAAAGACAAATTTAAAAAGCAGGCAACATATCCTAAGGGTGATTCAACATTATTCAAGTAGGAATATTGGAACCACCCAACTAGAAAATGCCGAAAAGTAGAAACTAAAATACCACAAGCACAACAATAATGTCGTGCTGAACGATCTTCAAGGATCGAAAATATAACATCATTGATTAAAATGTACGGGGAGACTTTTAACAGCCGCCACACGGCACAAATAACACGGATGTGATCATTAAAATAGATAAAAACAGAATCCCTAAAGAAAGCCCAACACGGCAAAATTGAAAATGTTGCAGGCTCGGTTTGATTGAGCCTGTTCATGGACGGTACTGGAAAGTGCAAGTTACCGTCCACGCCCCCTAGCACCGGCTTAAGCAGAATTCAACATTTAAACATGAAATAGTAAAATTTAAGTCAAATTTTCAATTAAAAATGAATGCATATAAATCATTGATTAAATATAATGTGCACAAATATTTGCAGTACACATTTTACATATTCTTTGATGTTTTAAAATTGTTTTATTTGCATAATTATATACATACATAATTTTTTGCAAGTGTGGTATACACACAGTAACAATATCAGTCACAAAACATACAGGATCTTTAAACCTATCTTACTATCGTATTATGACTTACCTCTTATGTCAATTCACACTATTGTCATTTAAGTCCGCCATTTTGTATGCTTCTTTGAGACTACGTCATACATGCACTAAAGTTACGTCATAGTGAATTACCAGCTCTGCTTGATTTTCTATGGGGAGGTTTTCGGCGGGAAGTGTTTGAATCAATGTTTTTGTATTAAATTATTGATAGGCGCAACATCTACTACTCACTCCTTATTATCGTATTTTGAATATTGTAATAATTACCTGTGGTAAATGTACGCATTAATTTCATTGATATGTTGATTTATTTATTAACTGTTTGAGGTGTCGGAACTGTTTGAACCCCTTATTGGTCCCCTTTTATTTTTGTTTGAATTGTTGACAAACACTGTTGTTTATGTTTGAATCGCGTGTATAAAAGGCGCTGCATTCCTGTTTGAAAGCACTCCGCAGCTCTGAAAACTCAAAGCATTACCTTACCGCCTTTCATTCTGATCTAATTCCAGAATAGGTAATTTAATTTAACGATTTAATAGATTTATATTTACATTGAATTATTTGATTAAATTTAAGTAAGATAATCTTTTAGAAATACTTTGAACAGAAGTTGTTTCCTTCGGAACTTACGCATTTCAGTAGCAAACGCTCAGAATTTGTTGAATAATTTGTTTGGTTAATATAATAACTTAGCTATTAATTAAGATCGCTTTTAAAATGTTTCATAAGTAAGTTGTTGTATAATTCTCCTTTAAACATTGCTTAGCCACCGACACCTCATATTTGTTCCACAATTTTCAAGATGGATACCTTTAGTCCTACACAAGAAGAGAATATTTC